TGATCAAACGAATGACAGCAACAGACTATGGTCCATTGGTGGAGCACATCAGGACTAAAATACGATCATGGACAGCTCGTTCTCTCTCCTTTGTAGACCAACTGCACCTAATTAGCTCTGTTTTGACAAGCATTACAAACTTTTGGCTCTCTGCGTTCTGCTTGCCAAAAAGCTATATCGATGAAAATAACAGTCAGTGCTCGGCGTTTCTGTGTTCTGGACAAGCTCTTTCATCTCGAAAAGCTAAAATTGCTTGGACAGATGTATGCCGACCTAAAGAAGAAGCGGGACTGGGACTTAAGCCGCTGAAAGAAGCAAATACATTCTACATCATGAAGCTCATTTGGAGAATTGTCTCGGGCAACTCTTCCTTATGGATTTTCTGGATTCATCGACATCTGATCAGGAAAGGTTCTTTTCGGGTTATACGTGACAACACCACCACTGGCTTTTGGATTTGGAAGAAAATCTTCAAAAAATGAGAGCAAGCGAAGCCATTTCACATAATTGAGATTGGAAATGATATCACAACATCTTTTTGGTTTGATGTTTGGAGCTCTTTCGAGTGCCTTATTGATAACATAGGACCGAGAGGATACATCGATTTTGAGATTACAATGCATGCTACTGTTGCAGAGGTGATGGAGAATCACCAAAGACGCAGATGTAGACATCGGACTTCGCTCCTAACCAGGTTGAGGACCTCATTGAGGATACTCGGACAAAAAGTAACTCGATGACTGCAGATATACACCAGTGGTGCTGCAAAGATGGAGAGTTTAAAAGGAAATTCTTGACAAAAGCTACCTCGAACCAAATTCGATTACCTCATGCCCAAACAAATTGGAGTTGTAGTGTATGGTTCCCAAAAACCACACCGAGGTATTCTTTTGTGACCTGACTTGCAGTGCACGATCAACTATCTCCGGAGATCGATGTGGCAGCCAAATACTTCTACTACCTGTGTGCTCTGCAATAACTCCATGGAAAGCCGGAATAATATATTTTTCAGTTGTTAATACTCTGCCGAAGTGTGGTCAAACATCGCTCAAGGGATTCTCCAATATCAGTTCACCACAGATTGGAATTCTCTTCTTCAGATTATCTCAACCCCAAATCAGGATCACATTCAGCTATTCATTACTAGCTATCTCTTCCAGGAAACCATCCATATGATCTGGCAAGAGAGGAACCAGATAAAGCATGGTGAAAAACCATCCACTACGCAACGTTTCGTCAGGATTCTGGACTAGACGATGAGGAACAGACTTAGCACTTTTCAGAGGAGCAGTGATCCACACTTCTCCAGTGGGATGGTGTATTGGTTTGCTTCTTGCAGCAGTTACTGATTCTTCAAATCTTGTTCAATGTTCAAAATTAGCTCAAATTCCTTCAAACTCTTGATGCATTCATTGTAAAAACGAATTTTTTTTTTGGGCTGAATAAATTTTACATTCTCTTCAAAAAAAAGAAAACTTTACTCAAAAAAAAAAAAAACATCTTTTTTTTGCTAAACATAAAAGACTTCTTTAAAATGAATGCTTTATATTTATTTTTATAAGTAGAAAGAGTTACAAATAAATGTTGAAATCAAGTGCTTGAAATCAACATGCTTCAGGGATGTGTCCGTGTGTTTTATTGATGTAGTGGAGGTCTGGTGGAAAACATGAGCATTCCATCATCGTATGACGGTATGAGTAATCACCTACATTCCAAAGGGAGCTTACTCGATTTATCATATTCTTGTTATGAGTTTGATGATAAGTGAAGTGATGGTGGTAAAGGTTTTTCGCCATGCTTCCTACTGTTTCTCTCTCTCTAGATCTCTCTCCAAATATGGTACACCGAAGCCTGAAACACATATCTGATCAAAACAGAGTAAGTCAATCATGACAATTGTGTTGTGTAATGTTGCGATAATTTAATTCCGGCTTGTATTGTAGATGCTGCGGAGAAGTCCTTAGCAAGATTATCCCATATTTTTGATGAAAATTGACATTAAAAGAACATGCAGTCCCTTGTTTTCTCCATATTCCCGCATAGGATACAATCCTCATTTTGGTTAGAGTTCCATCTTTTTAATCTATACAATAACTATTTTGGGAAGCCTTGTATAAAACATATTTCTAAGTTAATAGTGATTAAATACATCTTTATAATATTATTTAAGGAGTCATTTAGGATTTACGTTATTATTACATACTATGTCATTTGTAATAGGAAAAGATAATGGAAATAAGAACGATATTTTTGTCTTTCAAAATTATTGAAGATAATATAAAAAATATATTTTTCATTAAATAGGATATTTAGAATTTAGTTTTAATCATTATGATATGAGAAATATTATATAGTAGAAAATAATAATCAATCCCCATACACCCAAAGAAAAAAAAAATTGAGATCTTGCAATATTTTATACATTTGAATATATATATATATATATCAAAACAAAAATTGGAATAGATTAAGTTAAATTTATATTTTAGTCTATTGTAAAACGGTTTAAGTAAAGAAGTTTGTGCGGTTTGACTATTTTAATTACAATAATTAGTGAGACATACTTGTAAAAGTCAGGAAAAAAAATCAAAATAATCTCTCTTGAATTTCATAACAAATTTTAAGAAAAATTACTCTGCGCCATAACACGGATTCAATCTTACCTATAAATATTTAGATAAAAACATGATTTGACAGTCAACATTTACAAAATGAATATTTGTAGTATATTAAAACCATTGTCAATATCAATATAAATCTAAAATGGGGATGGTGAAAATAGAATTAGATAATGGTCGAAAGGGTTGTTGAAGTCAAAATATCTCATCTTTAATGATAAAAAATTACTGAAGTCAAATTATTTCATTTTAGTATCGATCCGACATAAGACCATCTCTATCCCTAAACATTTGAGTGATTTTTAGTGTTTTTTGGATATTTAAAATAAATAAAAAATGATTTTTGACAAAAAAAAAATAATAATAAAAAATGATTAAAAGTTTAAAAACTGCACCTTAAACCTGTTAAAATCCCACATCCAAAGTTTAAAAGAACTAACACTAGTATATAAAAGATTTGGACTAATCCATTCATTATCCAAAATCAATTAGCAATAAGTGAATTAGTCCAATTTCCTTATATATTACTTAAGATCTCTTACAACTTCAGATGTGGAATATTCTCACACGCTCCATCGAGATAATGGCCGTATAACCATTAATCTTGATAATATCCCATCACATAGGATTAATTTCGAGTAAGATCGGTTGACTAATTCGGATCAGACCGATTTTGATTAAGATCAGTCGAGCCTCTTTTTATGGGCCAGATAGGTTTCAATTTTAAATTGAGCAGCGGGTGATCGGACTCTGATCCCATGTTAAGTTTCCTGGATTTTCAACTCAAAACCAATTGGAAATGAGTGAATTGGTCCAAATCCCTTATATATTACCCAAAATTTCTCCCAACTTCAGATGTGGGATATTCTCACAAAACCCCTCGAGATAATGACCCATATAGCCATTAATCTCGATGTTAATTTCGAGTAAAATCGGTCGACTAATTCGGGCCAGACCGATTTTGATTAAGATCAATCGGACCTCTTTCGATGGGCCGGATTGATTTCAGTTTTTAATTGGACATCGTGTGATCGAGCTCTGATACAATGTTAAGTTTTATGGGTTTTCAACTCAAAATTTATTGGCAATGAATAGATAGTCTAAATCCCTTATATATAATCCAAGATCTCTTTCAATTTCAGATGTGGATATTCTCACAAAACCACTTATTTAAGAATCCTGTTTTTTATTTTTAAATATATGTGGCGTCACACTCTCTTTCCTCCTCTCCTTTTTTTTTTAATTTATTTTTAAATGATATTTTTTTTAGAGATTCTCTTTCTTCTTTCTCTCTTCTCATAACTTTACTATTTAAAAAACTGATAAAACCCGGACTCTGCGATGGAGATGCTCTAGCCGACTTTAACTGAAATTTGTCTGATCTGAAATAGTTACACTGAGCTAACCTGAGTTAAATCCTATACTAGGATTATCGAGATAAATGGTTTAGACAAATTAACCATCATCTCATCTCAAGGGAGCATGTAAGAATAGAATATCTCAGATCAGGAATTTAGATGAGGTATAAATAATATAATGGGTATGAATTAATTCACTTATCGACAATAGTTTTGAATTGAAACTTATAATAAATCTATATTTAATAGACTTCTCAATTGACTGCTTGGCTCCTATTCCTCTTCATTGTAAAAATAATTTTTCATAAAATGACAAAAACATATCGAAGTGAAATATCATTTCTTATGTACTGAGATAATACGTGGGACCATTTGCACTCATAATTGCCTTCACATCTACGGAGCTCGCTATGTCTGAACATATACGTAGCTTGCCATGTCTCCATATCTAAGCAGGTGGACGACATTCTTATGAATGGAAAAGAGTTTGATGCACCTTTTCTTAATTTGAGAATTTGTGATGTACACATTCCAACTTCAAGGGGGTATTGAGAGAGTGGCATATCTTGTAATTAGTTACTATCTTATTGTATGTTTCATTAGTTTGGTATAACCTTAATGTACAGGTCTTTGGTTAGCTTTCATGTTTATGCATAAGGAAAACGTTTCAATTTTTAAATTCATAAAAAAAGCCATTTTAATACTCTTAAGGTTTCTTCATATTTTCCACCTGCTAAGTTCTTTTTTGATTTTTTAGAAGAGGTTTTGAAGAAAAAATGTCTTAAGTATATACTTGGTTGAGAATACGTAATCAGGTTTAACGTAGAGTTAACTTAGCAAGCAAACTGCAAAAACACGTTGAACTGATATATAACGTATGATAAAGAAATATCTTACACTCGTAGGTGAATTAAGTTAGAATATATAGTACATTATACGATTGAAATTATAACACATAACAAATGAGATACTTATAACCATTTTATCATTCAAAGGACGTAGTAATGGGCTTATGCGGTTAATGTCACTTGTCATAAGAAGTCAGGAACATGACGAGACTTCGGAAACTAGAAACATCACAGGGCAAGACGATCTTATTACGGTGAGCCTCCGCGTAACCAAACTCCTCCGCCGCCTTTTCTAGAAGCTTCTGGAAATAAGGGCTCTTCAGAAACCTTGTCGGGACCACGAATCTTTCCAACTTCATCGTAGTACCAACGTAAACCACGAAATGCCCTCTCGGTGTTTTTGAGGACGATATCTTGATCTCTCCAGTATCATCTTCTTCTTCTTCTTTGTGGAAGTGCATATCAAAGACCTTTTTAGGCATAGTTATATACACCGTATTATATAGTGAATAGTTCGTTTTGCGTGTGATGAGTCACAGAGACATTAACGGATTTTGTGGGGATCTTTGTGTTTTTCACTTTGCTTTGGAAGTTGGGTGCTTATATATATACGTCTAGGTACTTATATTATTTATTTGTTTGTAGGGCTTGGAAATGTGTGCCATCTAGAAGACATTCACACACATTTTATACATACACGATATAGGTTCAGTTTGTAAGACAAAAACACGTTGTACAACGGTACAAACTTACTAATGAAAACCATAATCAAAGATCTACATAGTGTTAACCATCAATCTATAAACATTGTACCTAATCATTTTTATAAGGAGCTATGAGTCGTTGGCTTATAGTTATCTAAACTTGGATCATATTTAGTAATATTTGTGGTGGAAATGGTATTGAGAGCGAAACCATGTAACATTTCTGATTCGAGGTCTGGGAAAGTGTATATATCGGTCCAAAACTTCTTAATCATCAAAATATATACACTTTGTGGCGGCTCTACGAAATGTCATGTCGTCGTATACGGTATATCCCAATTATTATATAGTATTGGAACATACAATCAAAATAAAGCTAAAATAATATTTTAATCGATTAAAGTAATTCCGTTGGAGTTTTATAAAGTTTCTTTGATTTCGAGTTTACATCTAAAGAACCCAATGTTCTTCTGAGTTTAAGATTTTCTATTACAAATAAACATAAGAGAACATAAATCAATTCGTGGTTCAAAAGCATAACGTTAATATATAGAGCGTAGGAATACAAATATAAGTACACATGGGTAAATTCTTTAAACTGTTATAAGGATAAGGGACTTAAGAAGATAACATCTATATATGTCAATATGTGTGATGAGTTTGTATATGTTCGTAGCTTGGCTAGCTATAGCTAGGTCCTAACGATGATTGTGGGGAGAATAATTGACTTAGTGAAAGTCGATGACATTAATTTTTCTAACCATTCCTGAGGACTTACGTATGTGAGACAGAGAGAGAGATAGAGAGAGAATGTGTGGTTATTATAAAATGGGTCATAGATTGAGCTACGATAAAGTGACTGAGAAAAAGCACATGGTTTCTGCTACTGCTCATAGAGGATGATCCTTGTCTCCATACTTCTCCATTCACTTAATTTATACTATCCGATAAGGTTTTTTACATTCCTTCATATACGCCAAAAATAGTGACGGTATGAGGCAAAAAAAGAATACAGAGTGGTTTATCTAACTTATTGTCTTTTTTTTTTTGTGAATTTATAATCAAGACGTGATCTAAACCTCTGCTAACTGACTAATTATTGATCGTGAATGTAACCGTCGAGTAGTTCACTTACCGAATTTTCTCATAAAATTTGCTTTTTTTTTTTTTTTTTCTTGATAGTTTAATATCTAGAACGGTTCGACAAACCAAACCGGTGGTACTGAGTTTACATAAATAACTTCATAAAAGTAGACCTGTGCACTTCTTGCTAGATTGTCTGCCTTCAATTTTTTTGCGCATGAGATGTGCGATATCGAGAAAAATTGAATCTGTTCTTCATCTTCTCAATATCCTCCAGATGTAAAGCAAACGCTGGCCATTCTTCGGGTGTAAACACCATCTTCTCTACCCCTAAACAGTCTGTTACAAATGCTACTGACATCCTTTGATTCTCTAGCATACAATGCATAGCCTATATAGGGACTTCCATCTCTGCATGCAAAGGAGAAAAACTCCGCCGCACATTTTGTGTTCCCATAGTAATTTTCATAGTTCATTCTTTAAAGTAATACCATCCTAAACCTGCTACTAAATCTGTAATCTAGAAGCCATCAATATAACATCACCATCCATCATACTCTGTCATTATTGATAATTTTGTTGGGTCACCTGGAATTGTAGGTGTTAAATTCTGTTCGGGTAATTGGGCCTCCTCCCATAGTACTGCCTCTGTTTTTGCCATTTTTAATATTATTTGTGGATTTGTATTAATGTTCGAAAATACTTTCTCATTCCTTATCTTTTAAATATACCAAGCAATCCAAAGGAATTGTGTATTTTTTTCTCTCTCTTGATAATAAAATTTGCTTTTTCTAATGATTTTTTTCTAAACCTAAAACTTACTGTTGAGGTTGGATTTTGTATTTCAATTTTTGGCGAATCTCATGATGATAACCACTATTTAAACTCCTTATGGGAAAAGCTTTAATAAGTCATAAGCTTTACATCACAATTTACAAAACTATATACCACAAATGCAAGGTACAATAGTTAGTGTTGAAGGGCCGATCCATACAAAAACAGGAGGAATAACACACTAAGCTATGATCAAACTACTTAAGCTAAGAAGAATTGTCTTTTTTTTTGGTTTTGTGACTTAAGCTACTAAGATTCAAACATAAACTAAATTAAGCAAAAATCAGTTCAAAGAAAGAAAAAAAATTTAAATAATTAAGAACTTAAATAAGCAAAGACGCAGCAGATTAATAAACCAAAGTAAAGATAGAAAACATGGATAATGAGTGAGGTAAAGGAAAGACTACTCATTGAATAAAGATGCTAAGAAAATTCATTATGTTTAAATTCTTAAGACATTTGATTACACAATCAATTTTTTTTTATGATTAAATACGATTACCATACCATCTATATAGTGCACAATTAGAGTTACTAATTGTGTCCACTTAACAGGCATCTCTTTCCTAGAGTGTCCACTTAACTAAACTAAAAATCATTAAATTATAGTCTATTCAAAAGATTCATTTAACTTATACTTACTGTTGAGGTTGGATTTTGTATTTCAATTTTTGGCGAATCTCATGATGATAACCACTATTTAAACTCCTTATGGGAAAAGCTTTAATAAGTCATAAGCTTTACATCACAATTTACAAAACTATATACCAGAAATGCAAGGTACAATAGTTAGTGTTGAAGGGCCGATCCATACAAAAACAGGAGGAATAACACACTAAGCTATGATCAAACTACTTAAGCTAAGAATAATTGTTTTTTTTTTTGGTTTTGTGACTTAAGCTACTAAGATTCAAACATAAACTAAATTAAGCAAAAAACAGTTCAAAGAAAGAATTTTTTTTTAAATAATTAAGAACTTAAATAAGCAAAGACGCAGCAGATTAATAAACCAAAGTAAAGATAGAAAACATGGATAATGAGTGAGGTAAAGGAAAGACTACTCATTGAATAAAGATGCTAAGAAAATTCATTATGTTTAAATTCTTAAGACATTTGATTACACAATCAAATTTTTTTTATGATTAAATACGATTACCATACCATCTATATAGTGCACAATTAGAGTTACTAAATTCGAATTCCCTCTCTCGTTGCATACTCGGTAATAATAGATTTAACAAAAAAAAAAGATGCCACTCAGATAGGGAGCTATTGAAAACTAAAAGAGAGAAATCATACCTAATAATAAACTACATATATATACATATATATGGATAGATGGATATAGTAGGCATGAAGACTGAATAGGGTTATGGACGGTATAGATCTGAGAATGAAGCGACCATACTGTTTTGGATTATAGAAATTTATGCTGACGTCCTTCCCTTTCGTTTATGTACGGAGTCTGTTATACATACTGTTTCAATTACTAAATTTTTAATACGAGATGATTTTTTTTTTTGGGTTGATCTGTGTTTTCATTTTTTCATGTGTCCAAAGCAATTGAAGTTTTGACGAAAAACAAAGGAAAAAAGAAAAATTGAATGGCGAATGTAGTATCTAGATTTTTGGTTCTCAAAATTTTTATATATTTTAATTTCGGTTAGTTTTAAATGATTTGTTTTTTGTTTTTACTCCAAAAGTCCATCAGTCCAAGCCCAACTAATATAATTTATTTCTTATAAATACTATTTTTTAATCTCCCTTTTATATATATTTTTTTGGAAATATGTTAAGTTATATTTTTAAAAAAATTGTTTTCTTTACATTTATTCCTAAAAAAAATGAAAGAAATAAAGTCATTTGCTAATACAGAATCAAGAGATTTGTCCCAATAAAGATGTTTTATCTTCGAGCTTCAAACCATACTTCAAGTCCCTCATCGTAATCAAAATTGCCAGCCAGACGCAGAGAGCTCAGTCTATAGCGCATTGTTTTGTCTAAAGTGATTACCAACTGCTGAGCTGAGCACAAAATGTCTCCATGTCGACGCCCATTACGCTCCCTCCAAAGTGTGGATATCGCAGCTTGGAAGATATATCTAGCTAGAAACAGAGTCACTCTGTTCAACCTGTTTGATGTTAGTAGATCAACAATATCTTCCCATAAATTTGTGTATCGATCACCATAAATCCTGTGAGTGAACTCCACACCTCATGCGAGAAATTGCATTCAAAGAAAAGATGTTGCTTCGTTTCCATTGGGTTTAGGCATAAAGCCGTTGAGGCTCCATGACCCCAATGCATCATCCTATCTCCAACAGACAGGCGATCCAGGATTGTAAGCCAAGTGATGAAGGCAAACTTTGGTGTCGCAGATGGAAACCAGACCATCTTACTCCATGGTTTCCGACTTGCAGAGCTGCGGATATTGTGCCATGTATGCTTTGAGGAAAAGGTAGGGTAATATTTACCTGACTTTGTCCTCCATAAGTGCTGATCCTCTCGATTGTTTCTTTGCAATGCTGCCTCCATGATTGCTGCTTCGATATCATTAAAAACGTCATGACGATGTCGTCTCCGACGGTGGTGTCGCCAAATCAAATCTAAACCTAAGGAGGAATATACCGGAACACCAAAAGATATGAATCCCTATGCTCCTGTGATGCAATTAACCTCCCTAGTGAACTCCAAACATCAAACCAAAATGAAGTTTCCTCTCCATTATTCGCTCTCACTTGGCATGTCTTCAGCGAGTTCTCATGATTTAAGCATTTTCCTCCATGTCCATGAGCCATTAGCGGGTTGTATGAGTACAGACCAGAAGGAGTGACCCCACAGCAGATGATCTTTTGTCCATAG